TCTACCTTTTCCTGGGTTAGCTTAATCGGGCTCTGAACAACCAGGCCCAGGAGCTACGCTTTTAGGCTGGCCTAAATCTATATATTACAGCTCAATAGCGTGCTCCGTTTGGAAACCAGAGCATTTTAAATTTTAGGGCTATGGAGGTGCGTGACACAAGGCTACGATCGAGTGTGTTGTAAACATGTTATATATTTATCTCGTTATTTTGAACCTTTTTAGAAGTTAGAGCATTAGAAAAAGTGCTTATTTAATGCTACTTTGTTCAGTGCTGATAATTCGTCGCCTAAGTTCCAGATTTTCGGCCGCCATATTGGTGTACCACAGATGTACAATGACATAGCGTTCTCATATTGGGCTCTGTAAATTTCTGAGAAATATTTTGAGTTTGGGGAAACGCACGAGCCTAAAACTTTGAGAAGTGTCTTATTTAGTTATCTTCTATAACATCACAATTTCTTAGTTTTTTCCACCGGATGGTTTTCGATTTAGTTTTTCATTGAGTGATATCGTCGAAGTAGTTCAGTTTGGCTCTCTGAGCGGAGACCGGAGGGTGTGTTAAAGCCTAGAATTAATTAACCGATACATAAACTATGTTTACATTTGCTGTAAAATTCAAAAAATAGTGTAGACAAAAATGACTGCAAAGGAAAGATTTACTGACCATATTAAAAATTTTTACAACCAAAATCTTATTGCCATTAGTCGGCGCTCACCAATTGACTCGGCAAATTCCGGAAGCCATTGGATTGAGCGGTGTGTCTTGTGCAAATTAATCTTGAAAAGATTTCGGCAATAATATCAGTTATTCACCAAACACATGTAACTAGTCCCTCGAGGTTCCTCAGATTTTGAATTAGCTAGTAGACTGTTTGTAAAAGCTTGCAGCTCGCGATCAAGAGAGTGCTTGGTGCGACCCCGTAACTCGAATTTAAAGCGACTTTGACCATCATCAGTGTTTGCTGTCTTCTCCAAAACACAGTGAAAGGTTTCANTAGGGCTATGGAGGTGCGTGACACAAGGCTACGATCGAGTGTGTTGTAAACATGGTATATACTTATCTCGTGATTTTGAACCTTTTTAGAAGTTAGAGCATTAGAAAAAGTGCTTATTTAGTGCTACTTTGTTCAGTACTGATAATTCGTCGCCTAAGTTCCAGATTTCCGGCCGCCATATTGGTGTACCACAGATGTACAATAACATAGCGTTCTCATATTGGCTCTGTAAATTTCTGCGAAATATTTTTAGTTTGGGGAGACGCACGAGCCTAAAACTTGGAGAAGTCTCTTATTTAGTTATCTTCTATAACATCACAATTTCTTAGCTTTTTCCACTGGATGGTTTTCGATTTAGTTTTTCATTGAGTGATATCGTCGAAGTAGTTCAGTTTGGCTCTCTGAGCGGAGACCGGAGGGTGTGTTAAAGCCTAGAATTAATTAACCGATACATAAACTATGTTTACATTTGCTGTAAAATTCAAAAAATAGTGTAGACAAAAATGACTGCAAAGGAAAGATTTACTGACCATATTAAAAATTTTTACAACCAAAATCTTATTGCCATTAGTCGGCGCTCACCAATTGACTCGGCAAATTCCGGAAGCCATTGGATTGAGCGGTGTGTCTTGTGCAAATTAATCTTGAAAAGATTTCGGCAATAATATCAGTTATTCACCAAACACATGTAACTAGTCCCTCGAGGTTCCTCAGATTTTGAATTAGCTAGTAGACTGTTTGTAAAAGCTTGCAGCTCGCGATCAAGAGAGTGCTTGGTGCGACCCCGTAACTCGAATTTAAAGCGACTTTGACCATCATCAGTGTTTGCTGTCTTCTCCAAAACACAGTGAAAGGTTTCA